CCCAAACAGAAGGCTTGGCAAGGGGCTGGAACTCCCTTTAAAGTGTAGAAACCTGCTCAGTAGCAGGTGTGTAAGGAGTCAAGTGGAAGTAGGAAGATGTGAGGATGGAGGAGGAGAGCTGCCAGGACGCCTAGTGGGATGAGGTCTGCCTGAGAGCCTGGAGTTGGAAAGGTGGAAACTCGGAGCTCACTGGCCCCCAGAGAGAGGATCACCCGTATGGCAGGGAAAGAGCGACCCAGCTGATAGGCCTGGTAGCAGCAGCATCCAACCCACAAGCGGTACAGGAGAGGATCTGAGTGACTACACCTGCATCCCCTAGGTGGATAGGGAAAGGGGCACTCTGGTGGAAAGCCAGATTAGCCCCCTGCTTGTGACTGTTCACCTCAATTAAAGGGACAGGAGCCAGATTCCCTGCTCAGGAAAAGCTTCCAGATTGCTGGGTGAAGAGGAGAATCTCATCTAGGGTCTGGGGTGGTACATCAAGGAGATGCTGGCTAGCTCTCTAATGGAGACTGTTTCACAGAAGAGAAGCTTGTGAATAGTTCCAGGACGTTGTCCTCAGTCGTCAGCTCCCTTGGGCATCTTATACCCCCCTTACCCTATCCTAGTTAAATCCCCTCATTAAAATACAAAACAACAGCTCAAGGACTGATTTCTGACTTGGAATGCAAATTTGTGTGGAGAATGCAGACTGACTGGCTGTGCAGGACTATAGGGGGACCCAGTTCATCAGCAGCCCCTAAGTTCAATTCTGAACTGAAACTTGAAGCACATTTGTAATTTTTGTTTTTTTGGGCTTTGGCTACATTTTAATTAGATGACCTAGCAAGGCCCCATGAAAAAGTACCAAATATTGGAAGAGTTCAGAGGTCAGGCGTAAGTATCGCAGAGTTCAGGGATCAGTAGTAGTATGACAGAGTTCAGAGGTTAGTAGCAATGCAGAGTTCAGAGGTTAGTAGTAGGTAACACAGTGTGCAAGATTAGTACTAAGCAACGCAGAGTTCAGGGGAAAGTAGTATTGCAGAGTGCAAGGTTAGTAATAAGTAACAGAGTACAGGGGCCAGTAGTAAGTAGCACAGAGTGCAGAGGTCGGTAGTATGTAACACAGAGTTCAGAGGTCGGTAGTATGTAACACAGAGGTCAGAGGTCGGTAGTATGTAACACAAAGTTCAGAGGTCAGTAGTATGTAACACAGAGTTCAGTGGTCAGTAGTAATGCAGAGCGCAAGGTTAGTAATAAGTATCGCAGAGTACAGGGGTCAATAGTAAGTAGCACAGAGTGCAGAGGTCAGTAATATGTAACACAGAGTTCAGAGGTCAGTAGTATGTAACACAGAGTTCAGAGGTCAGTAGTATGTAACACAGAGTTCAGAGGTCAGTAGTATGTAACAAAGAGTTCAGAGGTCAGTAGTAATGCAGAGCTCAAGGTAGGTAATAAGTAACGCAGAGTACAGGGGTCAATAGTAAGTAGCACAGAGTGCAGAGGTCAGTAGTATGTAACACAGAGTTCAGAGGTCAGTAGTATGTAACACAGAGTTCAGAGGTCAGTAGTAATGCAGAGAGCAAAGTTAGTAGCAAGTAACGCAGAGTACAGGGGTCACTACTAATAATGCAAAGTACAGAGGTCAGTAGTAAATAACAGAGTGCAGTGGTCAGTAGTAATGTAGAGTGCAGAGGTCAGTAGTATGGAATACAGATTTCAGAGGTCAGTAGTAATGCAGAGGGCAGTAGAAAATAACAGAGTGCAAAGGTCAGTAGTAAGACAGAGTGCAAAGTGAGTAGTAATGCAGAGTCCATGGGTTAGTAGCATAGAATGCAGAGTGCAGAGGTCAGTAGTAACACAGAGTGCAAGGTGAGTAGCAAGTAATGCAGAGTCCATGGGTTAGTAGTATATAAGGCAGAGTGCCGGGGTTAGTAGTAAGTAACAAGAGTAGTAAGTAACAAGTAACATATTTCAATGTTGCAGGGGTCAGAGGTAAGTAACATACCCCCCACATACAAAAAAAAATGTCCTCCCGAGCAAACCTCTACCCCCTCTGTAAAAATTGCACACTCACTAGACCTACAGCCAATGTGCAGCCACTTTCTATCAAAGTGTATCTGGTGCTTTTTTTCTAGAATATTTTTTTTCTCAGAAGACAGAATGAGCCGAGTTTGGAACATTACAGTTCTCACTTTTGTGGCTGATATATTGAGTGACCCTGCGGGAGAGATTTCGGGCCGTTATTTGTTCTGTATGCAATGTAGAAAAACACATAACAAGTGTTGGGCTCCAGCCATACAGTTGCCTATCTGTCGCTACAAATCTCTGGCGGTGATGATACGTTAGGAGGCGGCAGACACTTTGTGATTGCGAGTTTTCTCAATATTGTTCCTCTTGGTCGCTGACCTCTGTCACGGGAGGAGTATTTTAGATTACAACTCTAGATAGAAAGACGATCGCTGTGACAATATAAGCCGGCTCATTGCCGCCTCCGCTGCAAACTTATGGCTCTCATTCCGGGGAATGTTCAACGCTGGGATAAACGTAATGTTTCTCCATTAAGGAGATAGGGCTGGATAGATGGCTGTTCATCCACAAACCTGAAACCCTTCTTAAAGTGGCCACAGACCTTTTTGGCAAAATCCAGTGAGGATCAGTGTCTATGGGGCAGCATTTTTAGCCAGAAAAGTGATCAGGCAGAAAGTGGTATTCCTAACACCATAACATGCCACATTCCTCTTCCTTCCACCATTGTGTGAGCTAAAGATGGCCAAACCCACAATCTCCCAACCTGTAAAGCCCATCTCCAGCCAAATTTCCTTTTTTTTTGGTTAAGCAACAAAGTTAATATTTCTGTTTTTGACCCCTTTGGGGAGATTTGTCCTTGCTTCCTATCTCTGTTGCACCTATAGAAGGACAAGGGGAGAGGTTGTCACGGGAAGGAAGGTAGGGGCAGCAATACCGGCCTTGTTAGGAGTTGTTATCCTTTTTCAGTATGCTAAAATTGTTTTTGCTTTTGCGTATGTACCCATTGGAAAGATTGTTTCATCGTTTCCTATCTTGCTAAAAATCCCCATTAGTTTGACAGAGAAGTGCTGGTGGAGTGCTGGACACAAGGTAGGTATAGTCAGGTATTATATCCATCTTTAGGAAGCAGCTCTCTATAGTACTGCTACCTCTATGAGGTCCCTCAGAGTAGTCGGAAAGAGTTCAAAAGAGAGACGCAAAACTTGTGTAGCCATTATAGTATATTTATTAATCCTGATAAATGAGCAAAAGGTAATGTAAAGGTAAAGAGATCAGAGGTCAACAGCACATATTTCAATGTTGCAGGGGTCAGGAGTAAGTAACATACCCCCCACATACAAAAAAACCCTCCTCCAGAGCAAAGCTCTACAGAGAGCAGAGCTGTGGGGCAGGTCCATCAGGCCACAGACAGTACAGAAAACTACAGGAGGGGGCAGAGACAAGACCAGTCACCCTGCACTAAGAGAGCAACAGAGAGCAACTTTTGCAGAAATCTGGAAGAAGAACACATAGTCCACCAAGATCTGAAATGCCCCGAGTTCCTCTTTAACCATGTTCTTAGTATTTGTTCTTTGCTTTTTAGCTCATACACAATCTAATTAATAATCAAAGATGCCTGGACTGGTCACATTGCAAAGCAAAAATCAAACCACAAGATCATTTTTAGGCTGGTTAGAGGTCAATGATTGGACTTCCGTAGACCCCCTTCTGTAGACCACTTTTGGGTCACCTATGGTGGTCTACAAAAGATGCAAAGCAATGAGTCCTGACTGAATGATTCTCCTGACCGATGGAAGGTATCTACCGGATGACTTCAAAGCGATATCAATTCCCTGGCCAGCCTTCTGTACAAGGTGACTCTGGTTGTTATCTCATTCGAATTTCTTGGCCTCATGCTGAGAAGCTATTACTCCGTTGTTTGAAGTTGCAGCCACCAGGCAATGTCTAGGAGTGTGCTAACCTTCAACCTCTTCCCAGTCGCTGCTCTGCTCTCCTCGCTCATTGTGCCGGGATGAAGTCCATAAATACATTTCTGTTACAATTTCCAAAGCCGTCAAAGCCAATTTCACAGACTTCGTCCTTCTATAAAAGTTCTAGAAAAAAAATTGGATGATGGCAAAGTTTGGCAAAACATTTTCTAGTCTTTGTGCGCTTTCCTGATCTTGGTTTCCTCTTTGAAGGTTCCATGCTCTGTGGTAGAGCTGCTGAGTCATTGAGCCCAACCAACACCTTCTGATTGACAGATAAGTGATCCAAGCCCAAAGCCTCACATCTACTATCTTCTGGGACTCATATCAAAATGACACTGACCCAAAATGAAAATATGATCAATAGTCATACATACGTTGACTACCCTAATTAAAAGGAGCTCCATTCTAGTTCAGATTTAAACCTTCCCATCACATCTTGAGGGCTCAAAGTGAGCTAGTTCCATCTTATAGTTTTTTTGCTCACTGGGGACTAGAAACCCCTCAGGTTTGAGGTTTTGGGCAAACTTCTGAATAGCAGGCCTGCCAACGCTGATTGAGATTTTGCTGAATGTTGTTTACTTTGCTTAGAGTTGCCGAGAGTGCCATTATATACACACATACCACTTTATGCTGTTGACCGAGCTTACCGCCAAGTTTATTATAAACATCATATCAATTCACTCTAATCTGTGTCTATTTTCTGGTGATAATTTACTCTAGTCAGAAGAGTACTGTGGTGTGAGCAAGGTTTGGGCTTTCAGAGACAGGTCCAGAATTTTTATCAGTAAATTAACTTGGTCATTTGTTTGATGCTCTGATTGGATTTAGGTGAAACGTACGTAGAAGCGTGATCCCATCACATCCGGATTCCCGTGATGTCACATCCGGTCTACCGAAAGCAAGGCTTGGAATGCACACTGGCCATTTTATTGGATCACACAGGCTGTACAAACTGGTGCCGGTCTTGTGGGCACCTTTACATGTGAGTGTAAGACCTCATATGTTTATATCATGTGTATTTTAACCACTTCCCGACCGGCCGTTGCATATAAACGGCCGGGCGGTGGCAGTGTAGGGGCGGGTGGCCATTTATAAATGGCCTCCCGGCACCCTGCTTGTGCGCGCTCCCTCGGAGCGTGCAGCACCGTGATCCGGTGCCCGCTGTGTCCTCCGGACACATTGAAACACCGATCGTCGGACGGGACCTCTGTACGAGGTCCCGATCATGTGATCACTGATTGGCCAATCATTGCTTACTACGTGTGAAATCTGTGAATGATCACATAGGTCACATGGTACAAGGCTATTCACAACAGGCTTGTACCATGTGACAAGCTGTGACCAATCACAGCTCACTCAGTACTTCTCAATGAGTGCAAGAATGCACACAGAGAGAAAGAGAAATGATTGCGTTTACATCATATATGGGTGTAAAAGCAGTGTAAAAAAAAAATAAAAATCTCCATCAACCCCCACAAGTAGTACAGTGTCACCATGGTGACACTGTACTGCTAGGGTGACGGTATGTAAAAAAAAAATAATAATAATAATAATAATAATAAAATAAAAAAATAAAATAAAAATGTAAAAAAAAAGTTTAAAAATTATAATTTTTGGTTATAAACTAATTTGGAATTTTTGTTTTTACTAAAAAGATAACGGAATAAATTTTGGCAAAGATGTATGATGAAATATTATTTATTTGCAAAATTTTATAAAAAAAACACTTTTTTTCAAAATTTTTGGACTTTTTCATTTAAATAGCAAAAAAAAAAAATAAAAATCCCAGCAGTGAATAAATACCACCAAAATAAAGCTTTATCTGTCTCAAAAAAATTGTAAAAAAGTTATTTGGGTACAGTGTTGCATGACTGCGCAATTGTCATTCAAAGTGTGATAGCGCTGAAAGCTGAAAATTGCCCTGGTCAGGAAGGGGGTAAAAGTGTCCGGTCTGGAAGTGGTTAATAAATACTACACTTAGAACACTTAATCAATTTGATTCATTTGAGTTACTTGAGTTACACCTTTATTGTAAGGAGAGTCTGGTATTTAGAGTCCATCCACTACTGCCATATCTAGAACTTTGTGAACACCCAACTGGGGGCAATATCTATGGTGTGCTGATGACCAGGAGGGTTATCCAAGGAAAGCCTGCTGCTGGTCTTCAAATCCATATATTTTCACAAAGCATTATTTGACCACCTTAATTGGAGTCAAATGTCTCTGGTGAGTGAGAAATTCACTTATTTCATCTGCACGTGGTGGAGAGTTTGGTTTCCAAAAATGCATCTTCATGGGATAGTCACCACATATTTTGTGATCACTTTCTACTATATTATGTATATTTGTTATTTGATAGATGGTGTTGAGAGCTTTCTTCATACCACATGTGGTTTAGAACTTATTCGTTAGTAGATGCGGAGTGAGGATTCTCTTCACATTTTGTTGCACAGTTGTTTTAGCACCTACCTATTCACATTTATATATGATTAAGTGTATTTCACTTTTTAGGGGCAGCTGTCAACCTTTTTCGCCAGCATATTGCAGGCAGAAATTAATTTATCATTTATTGTTTGAACACACAATCACATAGGTGCCACAATATTCTAATTTATTTATTTCTGATTGAATTGTATGCCTTGAATGTAAGTCTTTGGGAAATTGTTAAATTGATAGGTTTAATTAGGACAACTGACCAGCGCTCTTTTAAGTGAATTCCAATTGAATTTCTCAATTTGGAAGGCCATTGCTCTTTGAGGGTGCCCAGCTCTGTGGTAGAGCTGCTGAGTCATTGAGCCCAACCAACACCTTCTGATTAACAGATACAGTTGTGTCCAAAATTATTCAACCCCCAATGCTGTAAAGGGGTTTAGGGACTATAGTGTACATTTGGAATTGTATTCAGAATCAAATCCTACAAGGACGTTGTAACTACCCAAATGCAACTAAAATGACATCAATTGTTTATGTAATACAGTAGTAAATGGTTCTTATGTGGTTTCTTCATTGCCACAATTATTCAACCCCTTAAAGACTACCACTCTGAAGAACAGAGGTTCATACAGGTGTTTCCATCAGGTATTGAAAACACCTGTGGATGTCACCGAGCAGCAATCAAGCATAATAAGCACCAATTAGGCAGCTTTAAAATGACTGTGATACTCAGCTCCTTCTAGACATTTACTGGTGTGGTTACAAACATGGTGAAGGCAAGAGAATGGTCCAGGAAGACAAGAGAAGAGGTGATTTCTCTTCACAGGAAGGGCAATGGCTATAAGAAGATTGCAAAGATGTTAAACATACCAAGAGACACCTTAGGAAGCATCATTCGCAAATTCAAGGCAAAGGGCACTGTTGAAACGCTACCTGGTCGTGGCAGAAAGAAGATGCTGACTTCGACTGCTGTGCGCTACCTGAAGCGTAGAGTGGAGAGAAGTCCCCGTGTGACTGCTGAGGAACTGAGAAAAGATTTGTCAGATGTGGGTACAGAAGTTTCAGCCCAGACAATAAGACGCACACTGCGTAATGAAGGCCTCCGTGCCAGAACTCCCAGGCGTACCCCCTTGCTGTCTCCAAAGAATAAGAAGAGTCGACTGCAGTATGCCAAAAGCCATGTGGACAAACCACAAAAGTTGTGGGATAGTGTTCTGTGGACTGATGAAACAAAATTAGAACTGTTTGGGCCCATGGATCAACGCTATGTTTGGAGGAGGAAGAACAAGGCCTATGATGAAAAGAACACCTTGCCTACTGTGAAGCATGGTGGAGGGTCAATCATGCTTTGGGGCTGTTTTGCTTCTGCAGGTACAGGGAAGCTTCAGCGTGTGCAAGGTACCATGAATTCTCTTCAGTACCAGGAGATATTGGATGGAAACGTGATGCAGTCCGTCACACACCTGAGGCTTGGGAGACGTTGGACCTTTCAACAGGACAATGATCCCAAGCATACCTCCAAGTCCACTAGAGCATGGTTGCAGAGGAAAGGCTGGAACATTTTGGAGTGGCCATCGCAGTCACCAGACTTAAATCCGATTGAGAACCTCTGGTGGGACTTAAAGAAAGCAGTTGCAGTGCGCAAGCCTAAGAATGTGACTGAACTGGAGGCCTTTGCCCATGAAGAATGGGCGAAGATACCCGTAGATCGCTGCAAGACACTTGTGTCAAGCTATGCTTCACGTTTAAAAGCTGTTATAACTGTAAAAGGATGCTGTACTAAGTACTAAGATTGAATGTCACTTGGGGGTTGAATAAAACTGATAATGCTGTGAGCACAGAAAAGACATTTGTGGTTATTTCATTATAACTGTTATGTTATATTTGTCTGACCTACAAGTGCCTCTTTAATGTAAATGTAAGCAAGATGACTGAATGATCAAAAGCAATGTCAAACTGGCCAAAACACTCAATTTTCAGTGGGGGTTGAATAATTTTTGGACACAACTGTAAGTGATTCAAGCCCAACGCTTCACATCTATTATCTTCTGGGACTCATATGCCCTCAGGCATTGGCCCATCCAAAGTGAGGATGGAGGTACAGAGTATCATACAAATGTAGAGAGAACAGGTCTTCTGAACATAGGTCAGCCACTGTTAGGACCCGCCAGGTGGTGCCCCTGGCTGCCCACTTGACAGACCTACCCAAAGCGTGGAGTCTAAGTCCCGGTCTGTGCTTTCACCAGGGCCCCTGATGGTGGGGATGGACTTGAAACAGACCGGGACCAGGTCACGACCTCCGAGCAGGCCCACCAGTGGCAGGGGCAACCTCCGGGGATGTATTGGTACCGGGAGAGCCAGATGTGAGGAGGACGGCAGGACCTAGCAGGATGGATCACGAGCGGGGGTCCCGTGGGGTAGGCGAGGTACAGAATCGGCAGGCGGAGAATCGTCAGTCACACACGCAGGGTCAGCAGGATAAGTCAGTCCGTAGAGAGGTCAAAACAAGCCGGGGGTCAGGATGGGAGAAGGCAGAGTAGTCAGGACAATCCGGGTCAACACAGGAGTAGGCAGCGTAGTCAGGGTCAAAACAGGGTCAAAAACACAGGTACAGGACTCAGGAACTCAGATAGACCTTGCGGCGATTACTGACAGTGCAGGGCATCTTTAAATATTGCGCCCTGCACTGTCATTGGCCGCTTGGGACGCGCCCCCGGGCTGTCATTGGCCGCCCGAGGCGCGCCCGCGGGTCCCCACTGCGCAAGCGCGGCATCCTGTCATCCACGGCTCGCCGGACCTAGTGCCTGTGTCCCGGCGTGAGCCGTCGCCAGCGCGCATGCGCCGGCCGCAGGACCGCCGCGATCGCGTGACATTGCCACCCCCCCTCCCTATGGCACCCTCCGGGAGCCCCACTGATCTCTCCACCGCGGGTGGCCACGAAAAAATCCCCGATGAGCCTGGGAGCGTGAACATTCTGGATGGGTACCCAAGAATTCTCCTCAGGGCCATAACCCCTTCCATTTTATCAGGAACTGCGTCTGGCCCCCCCTCTTTCGGAACTGAGAATAGTTTCTACCTCATATTCCTCCTGGTCACCTATGGTGACTGCCTCAGGAGGTCTGGATTGGCGATCCGGGAAGGAATCTGGTCTGGATGGTTTCAGGAGAGAGACATGGAACACAGGGTGTATTTTGAAAGACTCCGGGAGCTCAAGTTCGTAGGCCACTTCATTGATCACCCGTTTTAATTGGAAACGGTCCAAGGTACTTCGGTCCTAACTTCCTGAAGGACACAGCATTTTCAAGTTGGTCGTGGCCAACCAAACCTGATCCCCCGGCTGGAGCAACAGCTCTCCTCTTCTCTTCCTGTCGAACGCAATTTTACTATCTTCTTTGGCTTTAGTGATGGCCTCCTGAATCGTTTTGTTATTGACAGAAAAGAAACGCAAGACATCTTGAGATGCGGGTACCGGACTTTCGGGCATTAGGTCGGGGAGAAACGTAGGATGATATCCGAAAATTGGTAAAAAACGGTGATTGTCCCCGTCGCTGAGTGGCTCGAGTTATTATAGGCGAACTCTGCAGAAGGCAACAGTGTTAGCCAGTCGTCCTGGAGATAGGAGGTGTAGCATCTGAGTACACTGTTCCAATGTTTGATTTGGTCCTTTCTGTTTGCCCGTTGGTCTGTGGATGGTAAGCGGATGACAGTGACAGTTTGATTCCTAATGCTTCACATAAGGCTTTCCCAGAATCTTGATGTGAACTGGACTCCCCGATCCGATACTATGTCTTTGGGTATCCCATGTAGCCTCACTACTTCCTTGATGAATATCCGTGCAGTCTCCGGTGCCGACAGGGGTTCTTTCCAAGGGCACGAAATGAGCCATCTTTGAAAAGTTCACCATTATGGCAGTGTAGCCTTGAGACGGTGGGAGTTCGACTACAAATCCATGGCAATCATTTGCCAGGCCCGTTTGGTATCGGCAATGGACGCAACAATCCCCAGGCCTTGCTTCTGGATTCCT